CTAAACCAATTCTAGACCCCCTCAACCACCTCCTACTATCCTCACCTCTACTGCTAAGTCATTCATTGAATTTTAGGGTTAAAATAGTCCATCTTTACATTTCGGACACCTTCCCTTTCATTGCCAAATAAACAAAATGTCAATGGCATGCCTTGTAATACCTTGTCAGTTGAAATTTCCAACATTGAATGGCACTGTTGGCATTCTGTCCAGTATGTTTCACCTCTGTCAAAACTCACTACATTTTAGGACCTAACTCTAACACTGGATCATTCCAAACGGTTGTATGGCCATATTGTCATTGAATGTTGGAAATCGCAACTGAAAAAAATATTGCATGATGTTGTGAAATACACAAAGGTTGAAGTGCAATTAAAATGTTCTTTGTGCGCCAATAGCCATATTCAAAAATGTATTTATTATGACACCTCACTAGCTGAACTGAAAGTATTCATAGACCTTCTGTGCTTAGCAGGAATTCCACATGGTAATCACAGGAATGTAAAAGACTTATGGAAAAGTTTTATGCACTTGTAGTTATGAAGGTTTATTATGTTTTCAATTAAGACATTTATCTTGGAACTCTGCCATCAGGTTCTTATTTGATTAGTAATAAACCAAATATGTTATGAACAGACTTGTTGCTCATCTCTCTCAAATTAATCAGAATTTGACAATTGGTTTACTGGTTTCCAACTGATGTTACATTTGCTAACAGAGCATAAATAGACTAGCACATGAACTGTATACAGGAACAAAGCAGAAATTCCAGGGGAAATGTTGGAAATTAAGAACTGAAAATTGTATAGTACAATGTTTGAATTTCAGAAAGATATAATGTTGACCTTATACATGGTAAAGAAAAACAAACTGGAACCATTGAAGTCAACATTTCACCATGATGGAGAAATATTGATAGAGAAACCTCAATATGGTATACAGTAGAGGAAAAACAAAATGTTTCTGCCCAGTGAAATGCACAAAAATATTGTGGAGTACACTAGTAAGCTGACAGGTGAACAGGCAGGTGCAGTATCACAAAGACCTACTATGATAACCGGACAAAAATTGTGTACAAAAAAGGGCAGGAAAACAAAGTATATATATACTATCAGTCTGAGCAATCTTGTGTTTGGAATACGCAGTTGTCATGTGTGAAAACTGCTTTGGTTGTGACAGTTGTAGCAGATTATTTTTGTGGTAGATTTTTGTCTGTGTTTACATTGTAGTTTTTACATTTGATGTTATCGTTTAGATTTTGTAAGTAAGTAAACAGTTGATATGAAAATGGTGATGTATATTACTTGTTATATATTTGATATTTTATTTTATTGCTATCTTATTTCTCTGCTAAGTGTACATTGTACAATATAGTAGGAAGCACCTGACAAAACAGAAAGAGAAGAGAGGTGGCCACAGTGCCACAGAGAAGCAAAGCTAAGCGCACACGCAGTCAGTGGGAGACGTGGGGGTGGGACACACAGTTGTCATGTGTGAAGACTTCCTTTGGGTCAACACTTCAAACAAAGCTTTTTTTTTTAGTGGTAGAAGTCTATTGAATTCTCATTGTAGTTTATATAGGAATTAATTTCTGATATCATCTTTTAGGCCTTGCAAGCAGGGACTTAGCAGGTATGAAGATGCTGATATGTATTCTGAATGCACAAAAATATTTAGGACTTAATAATTTATTTGATTGATATTTTATGTCTCTGTTATCTAAACACTGTATAATATAGTAAAAATCTCCTTTGGCAAAGCATCATGAGCACTGAGATGCCAAGTACATCTTACAAAAAAGCCAGGAAAAGACGTGTGCTGTCCCCATAAGCAATGCAAATGTATAGAACATACAGCTGTCATGGGTGCAGACTGCCTTAGGTGTGACAACTGCAGTAAAGATTTCTTTTAATACTGTGATATTTTAATACTGTGGGTATTTTCATTGTGGTTTACATAGAAATTTATTTCTGATATTCTTTTTTATAGACTTAGTGCACCAAAAATCAATTGATGTTGAAAATTTTGATTCTTTTGTAATAAACAATAAATATTAAAAATTCAATACTTTAGTTTTGTGATTTTTTTCTATTAATTACACATTGTCTTATGTAATGAATCTCATAAAATTAAAATTAATTGTTCATCAATAGAAATATTCTAAATAATAATAATGTGTCCCACCCAAATTTCTGCTACTTGCTGACAAACTTAGTGTTATGCTCCTTAAAGTTTATATCATATTGTCCCTGTCCCAGCTTCCAAGGAAAGCAATGCACCATTTATACCTCTATAAACCGGCAGCTCATGTTTGCTTAGAGTATGTTCAGTCAATTTTTGTTTCACAAAATTGAATATCTATTTAATAAATGAATTTATCTATTTAATAAATGAATATCTATTTAATAAATTTATTAAATAATATCTATTTAATAAATGAATTTTTCAAAAAAAATCAAATCCCTTTTCAGATACCAATAAAATGGTGTCTATTCCTGACTGCAAAACTGTCTAAACAGTTTGATCTCTCCTAAATTAATGTCAAGTTTAAAATAAAAAACAAATGGCACTGGAAAACTAAATCCATATTGTGTCCAGGGCATGCTTTTCCTTAGACTCCCTCTTCATTTAACTTCTCTCAGTCCAACAGGCAAAAGCTCATTGATCTTGATTTAAAAGCTAAAGGAGCTTTAAAGCCACTGTAGGGGTCTGTTCAGTTTTAAACGCAATTTAGAAAACCCAAGAAAGAATGACAGCTGCCTTTCAGGAGTTTTCTGCACATATTCCCAAAGAACAGCTTTCCAAATTGGACATTATAAAATATTGTATTACCAATTGAGTAAAAGAAATCACTCACTGTCATGCAGAGATTCCCTTGATTTTGACAAAAGAACAAAAGTCTATGTTGCCTTTTTGAGTCTGAGACTGACAAAAAACATCAGAAGGGAAAAGTACTCAATTTCTCTAAAAAATTATTATTTAGAAATAAGTTATTATGCAAAAAAGACTCGGGGCTTCTGACAACTTGTGAATTTCAAGCAGAGGAAATGCCTCCTTGGTAATCAACTGCTGACAAAACCTGTAAGTCTGTCCAAATTTGGGGAACACAGAAAGTTCTGAAATCAAAATGTTCCTGGTTCAGGCATTTAGGAAAGAACTTACCAGATCATCTCAGGAAATGCTTCATTTCCTGTGCCAATCTGGGAAGGAAACATAAACCAGGCAGAAGCAAGTGTGACAAAGTGGCCCACTGGATGGGAAATTGACTTCCCGCTCCCGCAGGCACATTCAGATGGCCCCTTCAGGCTCCTGCGCTGTAACTTCCTTTTGTAAAATGAATGCACAGTTTGTATTTTTCTTAGCATTACTTTTCACCGATACTGGCTTTAAGTTAAAAAGTGGGCTTGTTGGCAGAAGTTGAAGGAGACAGTTACATAACTGTCTTCCCTGCTCAGTGGGAAACTCTTCCAGGGGCTGACAGTTCATTAGAAATGCAGCACAGCTGAAGAAAGATGAATCCTTAGCGAAGCGCCCACGAGGTTGCTGTCTTTCCAAGGTGCCCATAATGAAAACCACCTTCCAGGCTTCTGCGACATCCTCACCTCAAGACTCCCTCCACCCAGGTCTTGCCCCTATGCCTCTCTAATGTGAGGAGAAGCTGCAATGGAGAGGGATTCACCACGGCTGTGAGGAGCCTGTCCTGGTACCCACCCACCGAAGCAGCCATGCTCTACCTCAGGCTTTCAAAATCTAGAGGAACCCAGGATTCCTCATGAGGAGGCTTTGCACAGGATGGGTTCATATCAACCTTTTCCAGGCATACTGAGCAGTTACTCACAAACCAGCATAGCAATTTCCATGACACCTCATAGATGTTCTTCATTTTAAAAGTCACATTCTTTGTCTGACCTCAAAACCTGGTGCACTGCAACCCCAGGGACTCCAAGTTGCATGGAAACCAACAGTAGGTATGCCGAAGTGTTTGGGGATGTGTTCTAAGTTTACAGACATACCGTGAAAAAAATCACTCATAAAGAGTTGTTCAAGGAGGTGTTCAAGGAGGTGCTTAATTTTTTTCCTACAATGCCTCTGTAAATCAGAATTTCTAGAAAGAAAACTTTTGAAAAGAGCATAAACAAAATAAAATTAGAACTGAGATTTTTTTTGACCCCCCTCCCCAGGGTTTCTCAGAATAAAAAATCAATTTTCCCATGGTGTTCTTTTATGATAGTTTGTACTTTGGTTTTCACACTTATTAAATCTGTCCTATATTAGAATCGCTTGTTTATTTTTCCCACCGTGGGCAGGGATAACATCCTACTCATGTTTTATTCCTTGCACCGCCACAGAGTGGGAGCATACAAATATTGATGGTTGATTTTAATTCCTCAGGAAGATTTAAAACTCAGATGTGATCATTTCTTGCAGTTAATCAAGTCAATATAATATAGTCAGGGCTTATGTAGGATCACATATATCCTTTACCTAAATTTCTTACCCTGTAATAATGGTAGGGTTTTTATGCCATGAATCCCTAAAATGTTATCAAAATATGGTGTGTACATGTTCAGATGTGAGTGTATTTCTGCAACAAGTCGATAAACTGTAATCAACTGACTTTCTCCCTAATCACCCACCCCGCTGGACACTGAGATACTTGTCTAAGACAGACTCTGCTAAGCTCCCAATCTCTCAGGTCCAAAGACAGTGGAAACCAAAGCAGATGGGAAGCAACAATGCACATTTCCAGTACAGCTCATTAGCCCTACCTAAAAATCTCATTTTTTCCAGTTTTCTGTCTAAAAAGAAGAAAATTTGAACAAGAGTACCTTTTTAGCCAACACTATCCCCAGATTCCATTTTCTAAAAAGGCCCTTCTTCATTCCTGTGCCTCCATGACTCCACAGGAGCCTCCAAGGTTGTCACTCCATTCCTTCTCAGGAGACTAAAGGGTCTCTCTGCGGAGCTATCACACCCACAAGGAAAAGAGAATATGGTACCTGTGGCACAGTCACACTCACGGCAGAGGGTGGGGAGCAGGAGCAGGAGAGCGGTCACCGCCGGCAGCTGTGTCATGGTGCTAGGGTCTCAGGGCTCCTCTATCGACGAGGCAGGGAAGGCTCCCTCCTGCCCGGGGCCTGCAGCAAGTGGAGAGAAGGCCTGCGGAACCCCAGCAGGCCCTGTCCGCCCCTACTTATTTTGGGGACTCGATAAAGAACGGGAGGAAACACACGCACTCCCTCAGGGAGTTGAGTAGAGAGATTTATTGTTTCAGTCCCTTACAGGAACTCTTTTTTTTTTCCTCTCTCCTTTCCCTTGGCAGCCACTTGTGTTTTTGTTACTACATTATTTTGTTCTTCTTCAACAAAAAGGTCAGGATGGGTTTTGAACAGAAACAGAGCCTTCTTCATGGGGGGACCAGGGAGCTTTCTAACTTTTGTTTTGAAAGCACACTTTGGAGTGGTTATAAAGGAGCCTCATTACTTAACTACTCAGTTTAAATAAAAAACAAGACTCAGTAATGTCCCAAGAGCTGAACTTTAGAGGCAAATCCAAACAGAATCAACTTGCCTCCTCTCACTCCAAGCGGAGGGCAGACTGGTGCACACCACCTCTGAAAACAGGCAGAGCTCCTTGCAGAGATCACAATGTCCTAGGGAAAAAGAGGCTTCCTGCAGGATGCACACAGCTTTGCCCAGGCAGCTGTGGCAGAATGGGGCCAGGCTCTGGAATGTCACCGGGTCAAGCCTGCTTTCATTGGTGAACCTCCATGAAGAGTAAGGGCCAGGGGCCGCAGACAGAGGCAGGGAGAGAGGATTCCAGCAGGTGGACAGCTGTGCCCAGGGGCCTTTCTACTGCCCAGCCTTGGGCACTCCCTTGGGTGGGACAGTCCCTCCACCTGTCCTCAACCATGGCTCACGTGTGTGCCCAGCTCTCAGCCCTTCTGTGGTCTCCAGAGGTGGCTGTAGGTATGTCCATGGGGACCAACAGGCACACAGAGGAAACTGCTCAAGGTCAAGCCTTCCCTTCCAGGAAGAGGGCATGTCTCTGCTTGCGCTGCACCTGCTAGGCAGACTCCTCAGATTGCGCAGAGTAGACACCTGCTCCAAACACTGCAGCACAGCTCTCATGCCCCTCAGACATGCCAGGCCTCGGAGGAGCTGTGCTGCAGCTCTGTGCCACTCAGACTCCAACCTGCCCCTCCTAGAGGTTCTCCAAAGCAAGGTCCTTCACGACTGTGACTGGACAGCTCAAGATGACAGCATATGTGGGAGAGCTCATAGAATCCTCAGAAGCAATTTGGGGTGTGGCTGTGGACACCCGCAGACACGGGGCCTTGTTCCTGTCCCTCATGCCCCCTGATTCTGTAGCCTTCAGCGCACGAGGTCTCAGCCCTGCCTAAGGGATGTGATGGTTTTAGGTCTCTGGCCTCTGCCTGCAGTGCATTCGTATCAAGTGTACCAAATCCTAGTCTGGAAAGGCTTCATCATAAGCATTTAGGCTTTTAAAAAGACAGAGGAAGAAATTATTCAAAAGGAAATGGAACTAGGCAGGGAGAAAGGAAGGAAGGGAAAAGAAAAAAATGAGACTAAAATGGAAACAAAGCTTTGTAACGAAGGAGGGGGAGAGGGCTGAAGGCGGGGAAGAAAATGGAGAAAAAAGAGGTACAGAGAAATTTCATGTACTGCACAAATTCCCTGTGATAAATGTGATCAATACGCATTTCTAAATTATGCCAACAAATTTAATAAAATAAAAGACAGAGGAGCTGTAGACGGAAAGGAAAAAGTAATAGAAGACACTGACATGAAACGAATCCATATTAAAGTAGTTACGGAAACTAAAAAGGGAAATGGAGACTGGCCAGCTTTGCCTTTCTAGGTCAGAAAGTATCTTTGAGATAAAATACATGAAGAGATGGTGGAATCCAGAAAACAGAGATGAATAGTGCAGAAAATGTATGCATGAAATACATATGATGCATTTATATAGAAACTGAGGCTGAGTACAGTTATACACATAAATATTTATGCATAGATATAAACATACATATGTACCATTCCATATATGTGTGTGTATGTATGAGCAGAGATTAGATATAATAAACAGTTAATATGAATTTAATAAACAGTTAATATGATTAATAGAGTGCATGTGTAATGTTATTTTTGAAGTTTATAAGTTGTCTCTATTTTAATTCAACTACAAAACAAATTTCTTTTATGCCCATTATTTAACTTGAAAGACAAAAATCACAAAGTTGTAGGTGACAGTGCAGGTGGCTGTAAGTGAGACAGAGAGGATATTTTATGCCCAGCATCAAAGGTGGAGCACATGAAAGAAAAATTTGGTACACTGCTTGCATAAAAATTAAAATATATCACTCCAAAGATGAAAAAATAAAACTGCAAAAATGTTTATAGTATGAGTGGTATTTTATCCTAAAAATACCTCATAGAATTGAAAACAATGGCTATGCCCCCTCAAAATCAGGAAAAGAGTTTGCAAAAAGAAGAAATGGAAGTCCAACAAAATGCAAAGAGGTATTTCTCTCACTGGAAATCAAAGAAACTGATATCCAAACACTGAGCCCATGTATTTTATCTTCAGATACAATTACAAATATTTTCAGACAATATCCATTGTTGATGAATTGTTGAAGTCTGAATGTTTTTCTCTTTTTCTTGACTTTATGATCTTTCTGGGATGTAATTTCACAACATTCATCAAAATTCTGAGTCATAATCTCTGAACTTGCAATTATGGTTTTAGGATCTTCTTCTAAAGATGAAAATGTGAGCTGAGGCTCATGTTATTACAAAAACTTGGGAAAGTATTATTACTGAGTAAGATGGAATATTCTACCAAAAGGTAATATTACCGAATTTTATACACATGGAAGCACATCCACTGATCTTTTTTGCACACATATATACATTTACATTTACATGTGAATGATGAGCATGTGGAAATATAGACACATACGAGAATGAATGCATGCCAGGGGAAAGAAAGGGAGACAGATCAGAGTAAAATGGAGTGCTAATTTTGTGTATCTATCAGTAGTGAAGTATAGGTCATTTTTTCTTATTTTTCCTAAAACATTTTTCCAGAAACACATATTATCTCTAACAACCAAATAACCCCTATATTTTTGACCTGGTGATTCCTTTTAACACGTTAGTCTGCCTCTGCCTCCTTTTCTCGTCTCCCTGCCTCTGTTTATGCACACTTGTGTTACCTATCACCGTTTCTTGAGCTGATTCAGTGAGTTCACAAGGCTTTTTAAGAGTGTACATCAAAACTAATAAGCAGAACCAAAACACAAGCACAAAGACAAAACCACAATGAAGTTCCAAGTTCACGTCCAGTCTCAGGCCAGCTGGAGCTGTCTGTACTGAGTCTCAGGCTGCTTGGGTTTTGTGGAATTTCTTACCTGCCAGTCAGTGTGCTCCAGGCACATTCCAGGAATCCAAAAACTGTTTCCGGTTTCATCCCTGTCTTCTCTTCCACAGGGTTCTGACTTTCAGCCCAGGGCTGCCAGTGGGTGCTGTCTCAGATGAAGGTCTATAGATCTGCGGGAGACTCAAGTTCCCCTCATCTGAGGCTGAGCACATGCCACGTCCCAGCGTTGTGGCCCGAGGCCTGGGTGACATGCAGGACAGAGCCCAGCCTCTCTGCACATCAGCTTGATGTCTGCAGGAGCAGCACTGCGACAACCATTGCATGGAGCCACAGAGTCAAGTTTATTCTCCTCCTGAAGCCAAGCATTGCCACCCTACAAGCACAGTGTCCTGTCACTTGCTCTTGAAAGTCTTAATTGGATGGTTTAGTAGGACAAAGGGATTACACTTTTGTCTCACCATCAGTTTCCTGCTCTAGATGGCAAACTTCCAGGGCCAAAACTTTTGTCTCAACCCCAAATCTCCACAGTTTAGCTCAGCATCTTCACAAACACCCAACTCTTCATCCCAACAAGGCCGACATCTCAGTCTGATACTGACTTGCTAGAAGCTCTGTGTCAGGGCCCATGACCTCGCCATCCCCTGGGCCACTCCACCATCAGCAATGAGGCACAGGTCACGCCCTACTCATGCCATGCTTTGCTCTTTGGCCTCTGACCCATTTCACACCCGGTACATGATTCTTCACTCATCTGAGTGTCAATACCCCACCTGCCCTCACTAAATTTCTGGGTGAACTTGGAATCCCAGGAACTTAGCAGGGTTTGGGAACCATCACAGTGAGGATTCCAAGAGGTGGGAACAGAGAGACCCATGCGGTCTTCGTGGTCATCTTCCTTTTACTGGGAGCAAACAGTCCCAGCTCTGCCAGCTGTGAGTCACAGCACATAGCAAGGCTCTCTGATTCTTAGTTTTTCTCTTCTCATGGGGCACATTTTAGTCAGTTTTGTGTTCCTCCTGCTCACAGTTTTGAAGGGTGGAGGCATGGTGTGGGGATCAGGTCATTTCTCTACTGAGTCACATCCTAGCAGACAGCAGAGACAGAGAACCACAGAGGCCACACTCACCCTCTTTTAAGTGAGTCCTCACCCAAAGACTCTTTCAGGGACCATGGATTTCCTGTCACTCCATGGAGCGAAGCCTTCAGCACAAGGGACATTGAGGGAGACGCAGCACACATCCAAGCTACCGTGGAGTGTGACACAGGGGATTTGTGTGCAAAAGACTGGAAGCAGTGACACTTCTTGTGTTCAGTCTTGCTGCTGCATCTAGGTCTTAGTTAATTCATCTATAAAATGGTTATGACGGTGCTCAGACCTGGAGTTAAAAAGTTCCTTATATTATTTTAAAAATTGAATGAAAGGATTCTAAAGTTTATTCATTTTTATGTCACAGCATGACTTTTAAGTTTTCTGAAAAGTGAGAAAGTATTTCATCAATGCAGATAGATTCAGGTATATATATTAGTAATTAAGAACATGGCTATTATCAGATGCCTGGCCTTACCAGAATGAAAAGAACTTTGCCAAAGTGCAAATCAGTTTTTCTCCAAGCTTCACAAAATAGATCATGTCCATTTCATCACCAAACAGAATTGTTCGCTAGTGTTTCCAACTTCTTTCAACAAAACTGGCTTAATATTCCACCCCCCAGTCTCTGTTACCAAGCACAAAAATATTTTGGATGGAGGCTGGGGATTTAGCTCAGTGGCGTAAGTGCCTGCCTTGCAAGTGTGTGGTCGTGAGTTCCATCCCCGGTACCGATAAAAAAGAA